ATATCATGATTTAGAAGTTAAATTTATAATTGATTCTATGAATACAAAGAGTTAAAGTTGTTCAAGATCAATTATGTGATATATGTGCTTGATTTGATGACATGTTGATAAGGATATGAATAAGCTAGAAAATTATGATTTAAATGAATGATTCTTATGTAAAAGATGAGTACATGAGAACAAGAATTAAGTGATTTGGCAAAGTATAGCTTGAGTTATGAATTTTTGAAGTTGAACATGCAAGATGAATTTTATGTTCACTATGACTTTAAATTCTAATAACTTGATGTATATGCATGCTAAAATTATGAAATTTTTATGATATGTCTAATTATGAGTTGAGATTATGACTGTTAAATTTCATGATTTGAAGATGAGAAATGAATGAGTTATGATAATTACAAGGCATATATGTAAAGATGAGTTTTTATGCAAGAATATTCATGATATGTTCAAGTTGTTTAAGTGAGATTATTATGATCAATTCTCATATAAGTGATGAGCAATTTGGCAAAGTTTTAGTTTAATATGTTGAGTATATAATATTATAAAGATTGTACTAAGTATGACATATTAATATCATAATTAAATGTTATGATTAAAAGTTGAAGTATGACTTGAGTTTATTTTCACTTTCAAATTAATTAAGTGAAAACTTAATATAAGCCAATATTTAAAATTTGGGAGATATGATGTATGATGAATTAAGTATTTGATTGAGTAAAAGATTAAGAAAAAGTTAAGATGTTTGATGACTTAATATTTAATTGAGAATCCGAGCATCTTATTGAGTATACGAGCATAGTACTTAGTATATTTGTTTATATATTTTTTTGTAGCTTGAGGAGTTAGCTACTCGAGATCAACACTTATGATTTTTCAAAGGAGAAAGGTGGAGACCCAGACTGGGTATTATATTGAGTATAATGTTAATATCATGTTCGAGGTATGTATATAGTTTAAGTTTATACGCTTGGGATGAGGAGGCATTCAGTTGTCTCAGAGTATATCCTAAGTTCTGATGGAGGCCATTTGAGTTGCCTTGAGAAATATCCATCAGATTGTGCACAAGTATCCGATCAGATATCGTCCAGATTCAGTTTAAGTTACTGGAACAGATTTCCGGTCCAGATATATATCAAAGATCATGATATTGTATTATTATTGCTGTTTACTTTAGTATGGGTGATTTCGGGGTACAAGAGGATCAGTACTCACCCCCATTATATTTTTCAGGTAACAGGGTTGAGGCGGAGGTGTGAGCTTAAGAAGTGGTGGTGGTGGTCGTGCACTTACTTCAGTGGACATTTATTATGGATTTGATATGTCTGTATGATAAATCATGTTTTTAAGTATTTCCGCTATGCATATTAAGTATTGAACTTGCATTTTTAATAAATTTCAGGTTTCCAGTTTATACCATTTCGAGAAGTATGAATATGGTACAGTTAAATGCAAGTTTAAAGGAAATCTGTTTTCTTTATGTCTAGAGAAGTATTAGACAGAAAGTTTAAAGATAAAAGGATTTTCAAGAAGATGAGTTTGAGTAGCATCTCCAGTTAGTCGCAAAATATTTTGAAAGAGTTATAAGTATTTTCGAAGTAAAAGTTGCGAAAAATTTACTCTGATGAGCGGGGTGTTACAAATATTGCGGGAGTTAAAAAAGAACCTCGAATGTTCTACCAACCGAATGAAGGCCTTTCACGATGGCAAGCGACGTGAAGAAAACTTCGAGCCAGGTGACTGTGTATTTAAAGCTGAGGCCATTCAGGGAACGCCAAGCCGCACAAAAGGTCGCGACCAAGCTCGGGGTACGCTATTACGGGCCATATCAGATTTTGAAACGCATAGGCCAAGTAGCCTATCGACTCGAGCTACCGGATAGCTCGCACATACACCGGATTATTCATGTCTCGCCGCTCAAGAGGAGCCTAGGGGAAGCGCTTAAATGGTGAGAATAACTACCCGCGACCGCACCAGATGGGCAAATTATTGTGCGACCTAGTCGAGTGATCGAGTATTGTCAAGTGAAGAAAGCTGGCCCCTATCGCTGGGAGTATTGGTCGAGTGGGAAGAGTTGCAAACGAAGAAGCCACTTGGGAGGATTTAGATGAGATGCGCGAACAATTCCCGACTTTCGTCCTTGAGGACAAGGAAGCACTTGAAGGGGATGGGAATGATGAGAATGTGGCGCGGCGACTCAAGAACGCCTCGAGCCGCGCCAATCCCACGCGAAGGAAGTTAGCTTGGCGCACGGGCAAAGCACGAGCAATCGAACGGGACGAGCAAGATAGCACGTGCCAACGCACAACAAGCATAACGGGTTAGGGTGCTGGAGACACGAGCTGCGAGGATACACGCGCGCACCCGGGGATCAAGGCCTCAATCCTCGAGACAAGTGGCAAGGCAGGTGGGGGTGAAGCGCGTGGAACAGCTGCGAAGGTCGAAGGCGCGCACAATACGCATGGCGGCAGCACAAGCGCGGGGGACAAGACCATAGCCGGCGAGGAAGACGCCGAGGCACGCGAGGAGGAGTCCAATGCGGCTAGGTCCAAAACTTGGCGTGCAAGATTAGATCTTTAGTTTCCTTGTTTCTTTATGATTTCTAGATTGTTTAGGACTCTTAATATTTTATTGCTTTAATTAGTGATTTAGTTTGATTAGGATCAGATTTACAATGAACCTATAAATAGGTGCATACTCTTGTTATTTTTTCATATTGAATCTCATAATAAAAATCTGAACTTTTATTCAACACTTTTCCTTAGAATTCCTTTTGATTCTTTTGCAATTTTATCATTTCAAAGAGGCGCTCGCATGGCTCTACGAGACACTTATCAGCAATTCAAGGTGCGAGTGTGCGGCTTATCAGCAATCGGACACACAATCTCTCGTCAATCGGCAGCGACGGGGGGGATCGTTCTTGCTGGTCGTTATGGCCACGATCAGAGTTTGGTCCTCGTCGTTCACGAACAAGGTTCGAGGAGGCTCGGTCCTTGCTTCTTGCGAGGAAGGGATCGCCGGGGCATGGTGATCGCGCGAGGGCAGCGATGGTGGAGCCGGGCTCGAGTGGCGTGCGTCTTTCGATGAGGGAGTAATGGTTGACGGAGACCGTTTGGTAAGGTGAGGGAGGGCTTTTAACGAGAGAGAGAGAGAGAGGGAGAGAGAGAGAGGGGGTTGGGAGCAGCGACATAAAAAAAAAAGAAGAAGAGGAGGAGGAACATCTCACATATATATAGAAGTGAATTAGGGCAAGAAGTCTTGCCAACCAATAAAGTAAGGCAGGCGTGGGGTGCGGGTTCGAGAGCGCAGGTCGCGGCTGATGCGAATGGCGTTCGGGCCGGTTCTCTTTAGGTTTCGACTTAGCAATTAAAAGGCTCAGTTCAAACGCATGACGTTCGAGGAATTAAAATAATCCAACCGACAATATATATATATATATATATATATATATATATATATATATAACACACAATAATATACATATAAATTAAACAATAATATCACTTAAGGCAATTAATCCAAATAATAATAATAATGCCAATTTAATAATATCCAAAAAATTCAATAATCGAACGGGTTATATCCGATTTACGTGATTAAATCGAAATCGCTGAGCGACGAATGTTTTACAATAAAACGATTGAGTACTTACATATATAATTTAAGTAGACATCGCGATAAATACAATAAATATAATCTCATAAATAAAATTCGATAAATAGAATAATCCGTGAAATTGATGGAGACGAGATCGCGATGGCGTTTCGGCAGAAATATGATCAGATGCCTTCATTAGTCTAATTATCTATTCCCTAGCTTTTTATTATTATTCCTTATTTTCTTTATTTTAGTTGGTATTTGCTTAAGTATTATTTCCTTGGTTAGTAAGTTAGGAAATCTAGTATGTTTGGACCCTATTTATTCTCTTCCATTCTCTAATGGGCGATGGTTGTCGATTGAATGAAAATACAGATCTTGAGATTTCATCTCTTGTTTTCCCTTTTGTTCGAAGCTGCGCTACATCAGTTGGTAATCCGAGACAGCTACGATCCACGATGCCACCTAAGAGGAACGAAACGGCCGACGACAGGCGAGATGCTGCGATTGCTTCCCTCACTCCACAAAATGAGGGTTTTGGCCGGCAGTTTCAAGCATTCGGTCGTGAGATGGAGAACCTCTCGGAGGGCATGGAGGACATTAAGTTGGCTCTCCAAACGATTGTGCAACGCGATGGCATGAACCGCGACGGGCTCGACGGACGAGGCAACAGTTGCGCGGGGATGCGTGGTGGCCGCGGGGGTCGTGATCATCCACGTGGTGGTTGTAGGCAGCAAGCGGCATGCGAGGAGGACGGCGACGACGACTCTGATGCCACGGAGGAGGAATACAATCCGTTCGGGATGGAGGAGCCATGGAACGAGGGAGCAGCGACCGGTGAACAGCGATGGAAGGCTGTCTTTTGCGTGGATATTCCCGAATTTGCTGGTGGACTCGAGGGCGATGATTTTTTCGACTGGCTTGGCTCAGTCCAGTCGGTGTTGGATTACAAGAAGGTGCCGGGCAGCCATCGGGTGGGTCTCGTTGCCACACGACAACGCGGGAGTGCGATTGCCTGGTGGCTGCACCGCACGGATTCACAACGGCAGATGGAAAAACCTAAAATCAAGTCGTGGGCCAAATTCCGAAAATACATCGAGCGAGAATTCCTTTCCTTCAATTATGTGAGTACTATGTACCAACAACTTCATAATTTACGTCAGGGTGCTCGATCCGTGGACGAGTAGACTAATGATTTCTATCGTCTTCTCAATCGAGTTAAAATACGTGACACACCGACTCAATTGGTGTCGCGTTATGTTGGAGGATTGCGGGTCAGCATCCGCGACATGCTAAATATATTCTCGCCAGACAATGTTGCGGCCGCTCACCACCGGGCTTTACTCGTCGAGCAGCAACAATCCCGACGTACACTTCCGCCGACCGGTTTTCAACCGCGGATGAACCTGCCGGCGTCCTCTGCGGCTGCTCCAGTGCATTCCACAGTGTCGGGTGGGTCGTCGTTCAGCTGTAACAGCGCACCAGGGTCTTCCGGTTTGTCGGCCATGGGTGGGTCGTCAAGTGCGGCTGTCGGGTATGATCAGTCGTAGGCTACTGAGGGCTCGCGATTGGGCGGTAGGCCGCGTTGTTTTTCTTGTAGCGAGACGGGCCATCGGCAATCGGCCTGTCCATGTCGTGGTGGTTCACGCGCCTTGGTGACGAATTTTGATTTCAATGGTACCAATGGAGGTGTGTATGATGGCCGACCGATTTTTTACAAAGAGCCCGAGCCGTTTGAGGAGAATTTTCTTGGTGATGTGGGCCCTATGTTGGTTCTCCGGCTTTCGTGTTTCTCACCACGGGCATCATCTAAAGACTCTCTCCAACGCCATAATCTTTTTAAGTCAACTTGTACAATGGGTGGTAAGGTGTGCCGATTCATTATCAACATCGGTTCTTGCGAGAATGTTGTTGCTCAGGATGCCGTCGATTGCCTTAAGTTATCGGCCGAACCATATCCTCACCCGTATACTTTAGCATGGATCCAGCGTTGCAGCTCCATTACTATGAATCGACGGGTTTTGGTGCAGTTTTGATCGGCCCTAAATTTCAGGACACGGCATGGTGTGATGTTGTCCCTATGGAAGCGTATCATTTGTTGTTGGGTCGTCCTTGGCAGTTTGATAGTGCGGGGGTTTATGACGGGCCACTCAACACTTACAGCTTCTTATTTGCGGGTGTTCAACTGGTGCTCCATACTTCACCTCCTCGCCCTTTATCTACTGACAATCCTTCGTCGGTTCTTTTCTTTCCCGTGCAGCTTTTGTCAGCGAGATGCAGACGGCGCCCGTTGTTCTGCCATTACTTGATGTGTTTTCTGATGTTTTCCCGGAGGAGCTACCTTCTGGCCTTCCACCGCTTCGGGATATCAACATCAGATCGATTTAGTGCCAGGTGCTTCTCTGCCAAACCGCCCACATTATCGTATGAACCCGGCAAAACATGAGGAGTTGCGTCGTCAGGTGGAGGAACTCTTGCAACGTGGTGTCGTTCGTCGTAGCATGAGCCCGTGTGCTGTCCCGGCTTTACTCATTCCAAAGAAGGACAGTTCGTGGCGTATGTGCGTTGATAGCCATGCCATTAATAAAATCACGGTCCATTATCGGTTCCCCATTCCCTGCCTTGACGACCTGTTGGACCAGTTGCATGGTGTAGCGATCTTTTCCAAGTTGGACCTCCGAAGTGGCTATCATCAGATTCGCATCCGTCCGGGCTACAAATGGAAGACAGCTTTTAAGATCCGTGAGGGTCTTTTTGAGTGGGTTGTGATGCCGTCCGGTCATTCGAGTGCACATAGTATATTCATGTGGGTGATGAACCAGGCTTTACGGGACCTTATTGGGCGTTGCGTCCTCGTTTCTTTCGACAATATTCTCATCTATAGTCAGACTGTAGAGGAACACTTGGCTCATGTCCTCTCGGTTCTTCAGATTTTACGAGCTGAGTGCTTTTATGCGGCACCCTGGAAGTGTTCTTTTGTCGTCTAGTCGGTTCTTTTCTTGGGATTCGTTATTTCGGCTGGCGGCATTCACGTTGACGATGGCAAGATAGCAGCTATTCACGAGTGGCCCACTCCGACTTCTATCACGGAAGCTCGCAGCTTCCACGGCATAGCCTCTTTCTACCATCGTTTCATCTTGCACTTCTGTAACGCCCCACTTTGATTTTAAAGAAATTCCGAACTTTCCAAAAATCAGTAAAACATTTTTTGAAATCATTTTCGAAAACATGGGCATTATTCACAACATATATATAGTCCAGGTCTTATTTAGACCCACGGGGATTCATCAACCCGGTTTTCATAAGGTTTTCATTAACCCATTTCACAATATCTCACAAGATATTCAACATGAATAATTAAAACATATTATTCAATAAAACACGTACCATGAATATCCAGAATCAACAATCCCAAAACATACGTACGAAAAACAATTCAACATGTTTCATAATTCATGAGTTCATAAAAACTGCGGAAGCAAAAATAAATAACTAATGACCACCCACTCGTCTTGCTTCGTCATCCGCCACCTGCTAATTTGCATCCGTGAAGAGCAGGTGGGAGTGTACAGTTGGAAAATATAGTGCTCACCACTATGCATATGAACAATATATAACATGTTAAGATGGTATGGTCGCAGCATGAACATAAGCAATAACAACATGTCTCATCTTCTATACAATATCACACCTATTCACATTACTCTTGTGCACATCTGTCGCTAGCCGCAAAACGGGGATTAATTACCCGAAGGCTCGGGAGTACATGCCACACTACGGACACGGCCGTCTGTATGGGCTTACGTACCTCACAAGGGCACGACCATATCAGGACGTAAGGAGACTTGCCTCGCAAAGGGCAACCGTATTACATCGACGGGGATAATCGTATCGACGGCCGTAACAGCTCACATCGACAGACTACATGCTCACATGCATACATAGATCATACCAATTGTACACATTTAAACACATATGGCATAGACATTTTAGAATAACAAACCCACTTGGTATCTCGGAAAGGCAAAAACACAACAGGTATTAACGTAGGTTGAGGCTCGACTACTCAAACACCTACAATAAGTCAAGATACTACAATCAACACCTATCTTGACTGCAATGCCTCGTTTAATTATTGAATATTTGAGAATTATTTATTATTTAATTGATTATTATTATTTGCCTTATTTGTTGTTGTTATTATTATTGATTGAATGTTAAATATTATTAAATGTCTAATATGATTTATTTGTCAAATTGCGATTAAATGCCTAATTGTCTAAATATTATTTAATTGTAAATTTGTGATTAAATGCTTAAATGTCTAAATTTTATTATTATTTAATATTATGTATGTATTTATATTTTATTGATATTATTATTCTTGAAAATTAAATTGTGTGTATTATAAATATATGTAAAAGTTCTGATTTAATCATCGAGCAAAACCGTATTGAAGCTACGTCTAGTCGGGCCCGAGAGTCGAATCGTTTCAATGAACTAGCCCTGAACCCGCGCGACCCGGCCCGTCACACCCAACCCGGTCCAACCGACCCGCTAGTGTGTGTGTGTGTGTGTGTGTGTGTGTGTGTGTGTGTGTCTTGGCCTTCAAGACAAGAGTTTGCCTTAGTCTCGCTATTTGTCTCGTTTGAAGAGAAAAATCAGAAATTTCCCCGCAGCCTTTCCTCTCTCTCGGTCGTGCAATTTTTGAGCAGAGAAAATCCATTGTCTTCATCGTCCCTCAACCTCGCCATCGTCTGAAACTCTCCGACCACCCTCCTCAGTTCTGAATCGTTCACTCTGTTCACGTCGAGAACCCTCCGCCATCAGATCGCCGTGAACCCTGTCGAGAACCAGACGCCAGTGACCCTCCCTCTAAACTTTCCCGATCATCGTGAACCTTTTCAGTCACGCCAACCTCTCGCGAGGACCATCCTTCCCGACGAGTTCAGACCCCTCCGCGTCGCGAGTTCTTCTGTGCCGCGAGCTCCTCCACAGCAACCTGCAATTCTGGCGACCTCGATCTCAGCGAGTTCTCCTTCCGTGTAGAAGCTCCTCCGACGCTACTCCTCCGTCGACCATGAGCCGCTGCCCTTTTTCCCCGGCAAGCCGTCGAGCTGTCGAGCTCGTTCGTCGCCACTAGCCACTGCAAATCGAGCCCGTCAACCCTCGTTCATCTCGTTTTTCGATCGATTCTCGAGAAAGGTACAAGGCTCGACCCATCTCGTTTAATTTTACGCCTCTTTTATGTTATGTTCTTGATTGTTGAATGAGATGAACAAATACATTTATATTTTATGTGTTTTTAATTGCCTCGTATATTAATAATGTGTAGACGATCTCTTCGACTTTGAGAAATCGAACGAGACCTCGTCAACTCGTGAATTAGTCGTTGTGGATTGGAACTTGTATCATCCTTAGTCTTATGGCGAAAACTTCGGACGCATTCGTCGTAAAACGAGTCGTAGTTAAATTGTTGAACTTTAATAACCGTTGTTTTAGTGTAGGAATTGTTAAAAATTATGTACTGCTCGTTTTGCCTTGAAATTTTGAGGGTTTTGTCTTCTTTTGAACATTTGAATTATGTTACAATTTTGTAATTTTTCAAGGTCGGTAGCTATTTTAAATAAATAAAGTGATTTCTGGTCAGTTTTATGTAAATCGCATAATAAATTGTGCAGTGATCAAAATTGGCTGAAATTTGAGTATATTGTGCCTCTGTTATTATTTTATGCTATGTAAAATGTTTAGAATTGTTGGACTAAGTTGATAGGGTAAATAATTTATTTTTTGATTCTGCAGAAAATTGTTTTATTTATCATAAATTGGTTAGTTGTTAAAAAATTTTGAAAATTGGCTGGAGTACTTGTTTTATGTATTTTCATGCTGTTTAAAGATGAGAAATTTCGGAGTTCCATTTGGTTCAGTTTTAATTGAAATTCGATAACTGCTGAAACTTGTAGAAATTTTTCAAATTCGTATAGTTAATGTCCATGGCTGAATTTTTGATATGTTGAGACCCTCATGCTGTAGTCTGTGGTATAAAAATTTCCTAGGTTAATTTATTCATTTGATTTGGTTGCTAATTATACACTCGTTTTTGCCATAAACTTGTTCGAATTTTATAAAATAGCACACTTAGAGTTTAGGGCTGAAAATTGGTGGTTTTGCTCAACTCTGGGAGGTGAAATATTGGTTAAAACTATAGAGTTAAATTCATATGATAACCTGACCAACCTAATTTTGTGATTAAAATCTAGTATTTTAAATATATGGCTTTTGCAATAAAAACTGTGAATCGACTCGTATTCCGTTTCTTTGAGTGTTTGACTTGATCAATGTTTGTGTTGGATTATGTGAACTCCAATGTGTATTTGGTTGAGTCTTAGTGTCGAGTCTAAGTGTTCCAATGTCCACAGGACTTCACGAACCACTTAGTCGAATCAAGTTCGGCTAAGTATAATTGTGATTTCTGTTTAAGTCAAATAGATGTTGATTATAGCATCTGGACTTAATGTGGGTGTTTGAGGAGTCGAGCCCTCGACCTACCAACTTTGTTGTGTGCCTCTTCTACCGAATTACTAGGTGGGTTGTTATTCTAAAATTTTCTATGTTGTAAATGTTATTAATGTATAATTGTGGTATGATCAATGTATGCATGTGAACCATGTAGCCTTCGATGTGAGCTGTACCGGTCGTCGAACGGTTATTTCCCGTAGCTATAAAACGTACCCGATGGGTAGTCTCCTATATTTATGTATGGCCGTA